ATTGGAAATTGAGAGACTCACGAGGCATTCCAATCGCCAGGGAGATCGTTACTTTTGTCAGCTTCAAGCAATTCGGGGGAAATGCAACCGAAGTTATAGCTGAAGCATTGAAAGAGATTCCCGAACAGTTTGTGGAATATCAAGTCATCAATGGCGTGAAACCTCTGCCGCCGGTCCCTGCTCCAGATTTTGAAAAAATGACAGCATCATCTGCAGATACTCCGAACAAAAGAAACAATAGACAGTCGTCTCGAAAGCGTAACGAAAGAAGGAGCAAAGGCTCTCATCGCACTAAAAACAGCAACAGAAGAGATCGATTTAGTCAAGATTCGAATTGAATTTATTCTAAAGAAATAGTTGCGTTTCACGGTTGTCTACTAGAGACGGCCAATACTGAATGACAACAAATGCGAAAGTGGTTCCACCATACAGTTTTTTCTTCACTGAATCTACGACTGAGATTTTTGGTCAGTAACAACATCGCTTCGCAACGACGCACGAATGACGATCATGACAAGAAGTGCTTTTTGAAATGCTGGTACCATAGTCAGTGTCATTTTGCTGGCTCTTTAATGTTAAGTAACTTTTTCCCTACATGTTGTGCTTGCCTTTCTCTTTATGCCTATTTTTAGGACAGACAAAGGAGTTAAGTATCTTCTGAATGTCAGGCAAGATAAGGGAAGAAGCTCTTTGGAAAATCTTTTTCAACTACCATGGCATCAATTTGGAGAACCTGATCGTCATTTCCAGAGCACTAGAAGACATCCTACCAGGAGGAGGATCCTACATAAAAATAAACAGCTGTCCATGGTGTTCTTTTGTCCCCTGTCTGTTTCCTCMAGTCTTCTTCATACTCTCCCTTATCCACAACAASAAGCTCCCACCATCAGGACAAGATGACTGTTTAGTACTGGTAGTAAAGTATTATTATTTGTGTTACTATGTCGCCATCTCATTTCAGTGTGTGGAAACATTGAGGATATTGAATTTTATGCAGGAGGAGAAAGTGATGGATTAGATTCTGTTATGATTCATACTTGAAAGGTAGGAAAGGGCAGCAGGTAGGAAATTGCCAAGGACAAAATAGTAATCAATGAAATCTAGTAATAGAATTCCTTGTTCCAAAAACATGTGTGGTGTATCTCAATTTACTACTAGTAGTAGCTCCCCCCTAGTAAATTTCCAAACATCTCCTAGTAGTAGAACCTCAAATCTGGTGGGCATGGTATGCCCTTGGGTTTATGGAGATTACTTTGGAATTGTAATACTAGTAGCTAACTGGTGTGTCAGATTTGATGTTTGTCTTACTAGTACTAGTATTATTGTGATCTCCTTCATCCTCCTGTGACGTACTACCAGTACTAGTAGTACTAGTACTAGTACTACTAGTGTTGTCTGTAGACAAGTAAATTTCTTGCAGGACACAACTCCTACAAGAGTATACTAATTGGCACTATATTTGCAATTCACAACTTCTCTCTTTGAGCTCCATGATAATTGAATCTGGTAGCTATTCTAGCAAAACCAGCATAAATGCATCGGGACCTCAGAATGTACTACGGTAGTACCGGTATTACAGTCGTGCAGTAAAGTACAGCACAGAAGTTTGTAAGAAATAGCAGGTCCTGTTTATTTTGATTATTTTTATGAGACTTCATCAGCTATCCCGGTACTTTAAACGAGAACTGGTACTTTCAGCATGAAAATAATTGGAACTGTAACTTTTTTCGACGGCTGTTGTAAAATTATTAAAAATCATACCGTCCCCTAATATAAACTTACTTAGAACAACTTTTCCTAATTTCTTGTTTTCTTCCTTCGCCAACAGTCATTTAGCCGGCAGCTCAAATTCACCAAAATAAACAGTAATTTCATTCCTTCAGCACGGGCGCTTGGCCGGCAGCTCAAATTCACCAAAATAAACAGTAATTTCATTCCTTCAGCACGGGCGCTGGCAAAATAACTGGACCATTACGGTACGGCAGCTTCGGCAGCTCAAATTCACCAAAATAAACAGTATTTTCATTCGCTCCAGTCTTACGGCAGCTTCACTTGACCAAAATAAACAGTAATTTCAGCACAGGCTCC